TTTTTGTTGCACCCATCACCTGACAACTCAACAGTGACTTTTCCAACCTTGAAGTTCTGGTTTATGTTTGACCCTAGTGCACTGCAGGTGTCAAGTGAAGGCCATGCAGACACTTCCGAAAAGGAAACAAACTGCCCTGTGCTCATAAATAGCAGCTGCCCATCAGTCACGTTTCACAGCACCTTGTTGCCAGAGCATGAAAAACAAACACAAAGAACAGGGAAAAAAGGTTCTGCTGTACCAAGACCCTTTTCTCAGTCTGCACATATGCTGTCTGGGGGGAGAGGTGGCTCCTGTCCATAAGAGGAACTGGGAATGCTTCCAAAAAGGGTCTCACAAAGTGACAGATGTTGCATTGAAAAGGGGTCTTCTCAGTGTGGGAAGAGACAGTGGGTTCTGGACATGCACTGTGGAAAAAACACTTTGCACAACAGTCTTACAGAAAGGAGTGACTGAGTATTGACTCTGTCAACAGAGTCAGGAGAAGATGTGTCCTGCAAATGAGGAAAAGATTTAGATTCATCCATTGAATCTGAAAACAAACAAAAGAACAAGGTGACTGTCTGAAGAGGTACTGACAGCGCTTGGAAAATTGATAGTAGATGATAAAACATTTATTACTAAACAGTGCTTTTCAAGCTCTGTGCAAAAGCCCTCACAACAAGCAGGGAAAGGAATGTGTCTTGCCAATATGAGACAGTATTTACAGCATCTTGAAATTTGTCACTTCAAACTCTAAAGCCATGGTCATCAGTCTTTGCTAAGGATAATCCCCCTGAAGAGATTAAATATGTATTATTTTTAAGCTGCTACTTCTTTGAGAGCACAGAAAGCCGTAAGAATGAAAATCAAGCCTAAAAATAAGTCTCTCTGCAGCTACAAAAAATGCCACAATATGTAGAGGGGACACATTTTAATAGCACTTAGCTGACTAAATAAAAGCAGGATTTTGCAAGACTACTGAGATGTGTAGTTGAGTTTAGAATTCTATCCTTCATATCCATTTATCCCTACTAATTCCTTATCAGCACAGGTGCTGCAAAAGTGACCTTCCAAACATCAGCAAGCCTTTTTAAAATCCTTACAGGGAAAATGCAATCAAGAAAACACAGCTTATTATTATACTTAACACACACATGATACCCATATTTAGTATTTGGGCTGAGCAGTGTGTAGCACCAATATCTGTGGTGTGCTGCCAACTTGCAGATTATCCACAAGAATCTTTACAAGCTTCTAATTAGTGAAAGTTGGACCACAGGAGTATTTGATGACTCATTCAGTGCAGCCAGGGAAAGGAAAGTATTTAGAGTCTCCTGTAGCAGGGAGTAAAACAGGAGTTCTTCCCAGGAAAACAAATGCTGAAATCATTAAGTGCTGGTTTTGCCTCTGCTGCCTGCTCCAAAGTGAACACAAATGTCAGACTGGCTTCTCTGCATCCCTTTGCTTCCATTCAGGGTTAAAAAAAGAAAAAAAGGCATATAACTAGAGTGGAAACAACAGGAAGTATTCAGATAGCAAGTATACATATGGGTTGATAAATTGGAAAAGTCTCTTCAAGGATGTTTTGTTAAAAAAAGCACATATCTTCTCTTGTATTTGTTGATGTCTAGAAAATGCCAATTTCCCAATTTGCCAGTGGGAAACAACTTGGAGACTGTTGCAACTGTCGTGCTTAGCACCCATTAGCAGTAATTATCACAGGATTGACTACACTGCTTATTACTCCAGAACCATTACATGGCCGTAACTGAGTTCATTCTCCTAAAATGCAGGGAACTACCTCCTGGATTTATGATTACAATCTTGGTGCAAGGACTGCATTTTTATCCTAGCTTAATACAGAATACAACACACAGTGGGCTTTTATTCCTTAAAAAAAAAAAAAAAAAAACACCCTAAAATAAAAGGAAACAAAAATAAGATATTGCAATAGAGAAATCCATCCGTTTGTTTTCTGTTGCCACCCACACACCCACTCCCCTGGCCCCTATCCCTTGAGCAGAGAGGAAAGCAGTAATGCAGAGAAACCTTTTTTTTCCTGCTCTTTCCATGCATAGTCTATGTATGCACCTAAAAATAGATAAAAGAGCAACAAAATAAGTATTATTACTTGCTCCTCTAATGAGAGGAGCCTCTATTAGAGGCTGAAAATGAGAGGTGCCTCCATTAAATGGTTTCCTTTACTATTTTACGTGTGTCTCTACAATAATTACAGACAGCTGATAAATAGCCATTTTACAGTGGTTTGTGAATGTGCTGATGCTGCTATGTATAATCACTCCATACACTCCACAGTGTTAATTATTTCCCCCCTACCTTGTTTTCCCCCTTAATTTAGTCTTCAAAATTTCTTTCAACTCTATAGCCTTTATCATGCAGCTCTTCCAATGTATTACCTTCTTCATTGCTAGTTGAAATATTATTGATGCTTTGTTTTGGCACTTCCTTTGCTAGGAAAAGATGTTTTGTTTGGGACAATTTCAAAAGCCATCCATTACAGGTGAAAAAGTCATCTGGGATGACAGTGCTGGAATTTCTTTCACTTGCTTCCAGGGAAGGCAGAAAACAATTCTGCAGAGCTGACAGGACAGGGAGCCAGACCCTCATCAGCATAAATCAGAGAGGTTTTGCTGAAGATGAGGGAGTTATTTTTCATGTAAGGAGCTGGCCAAGTGTACTTTCTGCAGCAGTGCTGGAGTAGCACCAAACACTGACCGCAGGCATTCAAGAACCACCAGAGCAATAGTGCTTTTTATTATTGTTTTGATTGGCTAGGGTTTTATGATATTACATTAAACCTAGTTCCCATGGCAAGAATCACCCATAGGCTGTTAGTCTCTGTGACATCCAACAGCTGGAGCCTGGGAGCATTGGCAGATAAGTGTATTCATCAGATGACTGAGCAAACACATAACCTTTTAATTATTGTTCTGCTTATTCTCATGTTTACTGTTAGCTCTGCATCTCTCAATTGCTGCATACTTGCCTTTGAACACCCTTTCTGGGAAGGGAGTGATTTGCATTAGAGCTTCCTGGAGAACTGGCAAAAGCACCTTTAACCAGCATGTTCAGCTATTTGGAATAGCGGGTTTTTGCTTCTTACAGATAATTACAGATGTGTCAAATTCAAAGATGGGCCATACTGAGGCCTTATCTCTGAGGCCTCTGAGAAAAAGACCTCATTCTTATTTTAGTCTACCTGGGCTAAAAGTTGGGCTTCACTGCCCAACTGTAGACCTACAGTCAAAAACTTTGGTGTTTGAGCAGTGTAAAGCATTACCGTCTGTAATCTCTGTGTCACCCTCCTTTGTCCCTAACTGAAAGGACAAACAATGAGACAGCAGGTCAGTAAGAAATTGTGATGTGGAGAGGCAAGTTTTGCCTTGAGGTTGAATTGATGCAGTTTCCATAACAAAAAAACCCTTGTGCCAAAATTCTGACACACTTCTACCTCAGAGCCACTTTGCTATAGCTTTCTTATGGTTTCCAGACTGCAGTTTCTTTAGAAATTGCTTTTACCCCTCCATTAGACCCTCCAACACCCTTGAAGGATTTGTTCACTGGTACAAAAATTCTTGTCTCTAAAGCTCTGCTCAGTGTCCTTTGGGACAAGGAGGTTGATTTTGGCAGAGGATCCCCAAAACAAGAGTCCATTGCCAGTGCCAGCATGGGAAGTTCTCACTCTGCTAGATTGCTGAAGCTCTGTTCTCATAAAAAAACCCCGTTATATGCTGTCTCATACCATTGTATTCCAAAGAGCAGAAGTATGCAAACCAGAAATCAAATATGCAAACCAGAAGAGAGAAATACAGCTCACAGTCACATAACCAAAGTACACAGAGGGACTTCCAAGCCCTCAGCTTCAGTGGACTCATCAGTTACGAACTCTGTGGCTTAAAATTACCTTAGAACAAGATTTCACAAATAGTCTGTGATGTACCTTTTCACTAATTCCAATTTCTTTTTCCAATTTATGGAAATACTCATAATAAAGCACAATCTCCACCCCCACCCATGGAGCAAATGAACACAAGGAACACAACAGGTCCAGGGTAGCACCATCACACAACAGCAGGTGACACATAACTCTTCCTAAACTTTGTTCCTCTTTTTTTTTTTCATTTACTTGGCAAATAACATTGTTTAATAGAAAAACATAACTGGATTTAATATTCCTGGAAATATTTCCATAGTAATCTGTGGGCAGTAATTTTTCACAAGGGATTTTAGTGATTTATAAACTTAGTTATGAAGGCCTGAGAATAAAGGTACTACGTGCATACTTCACCCACACATTGCAGTGCAGGTATCAGTGGTACAGATTTCTGCTCTACACATTTCTTGGCGTTCAAACATGATTAATGCCAATAAGACAAATTAATTAAAGGCTTCCTATCCTACATGAAAATGGTGGGTTGGCAGAAAAAGGTGTGAGTGTTCCTGTTTTCCATGGCTGCAGTCAGAATTCCTAACAAAGACAGTTTCAGTCCTGTTAATGTAGGGAGTGGAGGGGTGCCATGTTTGTACTACTTATTTCACATTTTCTTCATGACCCTCCATCAAGGGTAAAGCACAAAAAGGGAAAGTTCACAATCAATTCCCTGAAAATACAAACACTCATACAACAGTAGCTCACTGCTGATGAAGGACTTGCTTTACAGTTCATTGACTACATTCTGTCAAGCAGTACTTGCTTTTACAAATGCAAAGACACTGCAGAGACCGTATTCTTGTACATGTTTAACACTCCACCTCATTAGGGGAATAGCTCAAATTCCCTGGTGTTTGGCTGATTCTCTTCCCATGACAGATCCTTTGCTCTGACTGAACACCAAGCAGCACAGAAAGGCTTTGCTGTGAACTCTATCCATACTATTCTGCATTATTTCACCACTCTGTATTCAGTCAGACCACATTTTCACATGAGAAAACAAAGCATCTGCTTCGGCACACTAACAACCTCCTGCCTTAACTTTCTCTTTTGATTTTATTCACAGACACTGCAGATGGGGATAAAGCATTTCTCAGGGCTCTTTGTGATGTTGTGCGTTGGCTTTGGTTTGTCCATTCTCACCACCATTGGGGAACACATCGTGTACAGACTGGTCCTGCCACGAATCAAGAAGAAATCCAAGATGAAGTACTGGCTCCATACCAGTCAGGTATGTGTTCTGAAGGGACCCTGTGAAAGTTGTGTGGATGACTAAGAAAGCCTGGACAAGAACTAGGTATGAAATGTTGTAAGAGCACTGACAGCATTGGAATGGTGACAGTAGCTTCTGGAGCTTGAAGAGGCTGACCTAAGGATGGAATGGGAAGCACAGAGGAAATTATTTAAATATTCTGTTGCAAAGCTTACAGAGAGATCCTTCTATTTGTGCTTGTAGCCTCATAGCTCAGCTCTTTTGGATATGGAAGCAACAATGTTGTTATCCTGAACTGGCAAACCAGAACATCTTATTTCACTCTTACAGGTTCCCAAACCTGTGAGGCATGCATGAAATGCTGGGTAACCTCCCTCATTATTCCAGAGAAACTAATGGGACAGAATTGCTCTGGGTGTTTGCTCTAAAGGAAGAAGTTACTTTGCAGCAAAAGGCACAAAAGGGAAGAATTTCCATTGCTTTAAAGCAGCACAGTGGAAGAAATCTTTTAAAACTAATTTAACATCAAGGATTGTTCCCAAACTATTAATCAACCTTTCAGCTTACCCTTCTTTGGGAAAGTACAGGAAAATAAATCTGTTGTAATGACAAAGCACAGACAATTGCTTGTATCCTTCAATGTGCAAAATCATTTATGCTCAAGTCCATCAGACAAAGCCCAAATTGTTTACCTATTTTTGGAGCCATTTTTAATCTTACTTTTACTAATTTATGCTTCTCTTTTTTCTCTAGAGATTACATCGTGCTCTGAACAGTTCATTTATTGAGGAAAAACATCAGCCTAAGAAAAAACGAGTAGAAAAGAGGTAGGAAGTTCTCCATGCCTTAAAACACAGACGATAAAAATTACTTTGAAATTAAATGCCTTCTGTTTGGATATACAGTTATGCCCCAAAGGTAATAAAAAAAAAAAAAAGAGGCAGAGATTAATTATTTTTTCTAGTATTAAATCTAGAAATCTTGTTCTTTCATGATTTTGCATACAGCTTATAAAAAACCTCCCATTCCAAAGAGAGACTTTGCAGCTGAAGTCCACTGCCCTTGTGTTTAGGGAATGAAGTTTAGGGAATGAATGACTCCCCTACCAAAGCACTGGCAGGTAACCAGGGCTCTGAGAGGCAGAGCCTTTAGATGGAAAGAGAGATCAGGCACTCACATGCCTGAAACTCCTTCAGCTGTCCTCTTTTGTAGAATGAGAAATAAGAAAGCTGAGGAGAGGCAAATGCAGTCCTTTGAAAAAATACTATGTCTAACAAGTCCTGAGACAGAAAAAAGTAGGTAACAACTTGGCCTTGTTTTCATAGCCTGTGTCTTCTGCAGAGGAGACAATGGGATGTACAGCTTCCAGGAACACAAGGCATTGCATGTAGCTGTGCACATGCTCAGCAACTCAACCCTACTGGTGCACATTGTAAGGACACAGACAGCAGCACTGCTGTTCTACAGAGAACTTCAGGCACAGAGTATAGAATACAAAAAGTCTTTCAGAACATTACTGGATGTTTGGCCTGACTGAAACCTAGAGATGTCAATGTATGTTGTGTTTCTTTGATATTCCTCTGATAAAGGCAGCAAATACAAATGAGTAAGCATCTCTAAGCTCCTAGGCTGCCTTTATATACGCAAGTGTCTAAAAATGCTTGCAACTGATCTTCTCTGTTCATCTTATCAAAGAATACCATGCACGGAACCTCTTTGCACACAGCCACTCCTGGCTTTTGATCTGTGCACAGGAGAAGAGGCCATAAATGCTGCAAAATGTTTCCTCCTGCTGCACCCTCCTTGCTGGGTGGAACAGGAGGAGATGGTGCATAAGCCCCCCAGGCAACAGCTTAGAAAAAGATCCATGCAAATAATCTTCCAGCTTGGGAGAGTGAGGATGTACAGCAGTCCAAAACCTTCTGCCCACACAGCAGTCATCCCCAAGGTGTGTGCATGTACCCCCACCCACTGTCCCTGCTCTTCTCAGCACCTCGGGGCTGCTGTTTGCACAGAATTGGGATGAATTTAACTCAACAGAGCCATGAGTGGGGTGTCCAGCTTGTCATGAACACTCATGAGGCAAGGCACTGACGCCTTGTAAAGGCTGACCTAGAACAGAGACTAGATGGAGCTAAAGAATAAAGTAGGTATTTATTAAGAGGTCTCAAATAGATCCACCTTGGGCAGCACAACCCAAAATGGCCACAAAAGTGGATGACAGGTCACAGAGTCTCACACTTTTATAACTTTTGGTCCACTAGCATATTGGAGCTAATTGTCCAATTACAGCTTTAGCCTATGAAGTCCCATCCTTCTTGGTTTTCTCTCTTCAGTCCACCGTTGTTTATGCTCTTGGGCCTGAGTTCTGGATCAGCTGTCCTTGGTCCCCATCTAGAGCAGGAATTGTTTTGTTTACCTATTCTGTGAAGAGAGCTTACTATCCTCTAATATGAAGCATAGGCTTACACACTAAAGCAGAATAGAATCTGAAAAATATAAAAGCTAAAACCTGAGGCATCAGCACAACACAGAGCTCTCAAATTACGTTATCACATGTGCTTTCATTCTTGCTGGGATTCCCTGAGGAACTCTTAGAAGGACCAAAGATACAGCCTCTCCAGCCTCTTCTCTCTGCCAGCCCATCTCTTGGAAAACACCCCCAATCACCACCTCCTTGAACAAAATTTTCACTTTCCAAGTTCCTTTACTGCAGGCAGGTGAGAAAAGTATCCACCCCTTAAACCAACTGCTATCAGCAGTCACAGCCCTGAAATATCAACCTCCTTCCTTAACCTGCCACTGGGAGCTCCCACCAAGAGGCCTTTTGTCCAAGGATACCCACAGAAGAGCTCGAGGAGGGAGCACTTTGAAACACAACTCCTTCAGAGTTTAAACCTGCCTTTATCAAATGAGCACACACCAACCTGTCCCAAAGGGAAAGCAGGCAGGAAAGAGAAGCTCCTCTCCCACAATAGCAAACTCTCTGCTTCCTTCTGTTCCAGCTGGAGAGTGGAGACGAGACCATGGGCTACACCACAGTTTGGGAAGGAATCCTGGGAATTGGCCTGATTTGGGAGAGCAGCAAAAGGAATTCCCTAAAAAGTATAGGAAAATATTCTCTGGAATCAAAATATTATGCAATTATTTCTGCAGGAAAAAAATTTGAAGCATTTAAAAAAGTTCCCAGACTGAAATTTGTGCCCCAACACAACAACCCCAAAGTCTCTGTGTCGTGTCAGGAAGCTCAGGAATGAACCTGCAGGGCTTGGATAAACATCATTGTTGTGTGTCCCCAGAGCACAAGCAGCTTCCCAACAAGACTTCAAAACTAAAGGACAAACCTTCCCCCTCCAGCTCTCCACAGCAGCTCTAGGGAGTCTCTTTCCTTCTCTGTGAGAGCAAATGCCCAAGTCAGGACAGAGTAGTTACATGCTAAGCACTAACACTGTACTAAACTTGCACATTGCAACCACAAAAGCTTTCAGAGGCTTTGAAGTACTCAGATTTTCCTGAGATGCAGCTGAGTAATTTCATAACTGAAGAAACGTTTTGGGGAGGATTACATCCAGGGTTCTATTCTAGCCTCTGCTATGGTTAAATCACAAAAATTTGGTCATTTACATTCATGATTTGTGCTTTGCAAGAAAAAATAATTCCAGGGATAAAAGAATAATATTTCTATGTAACATGTAACAGCAGCCTTATATTTTTTCCAGTAGGATGGCTCACAGGGGAGGTCTGCACACACACAAGAGCAGGCTCTGATGTGGTGTTAACTCTCCTCTCTCTGTTCAGGGCCCATGTGGGGAACAGCCAGCATGCAGTGTGGAACACAGCCAATCTGGGCAACTGCCACCGAAAGAAATACATCTGCACTGATGAGGGGCAAAATGAGGTGACAATCCATCAGCACCAGGACATCCCCCTGCCACAGGGGAGGAGAGAGCCTCCGCCTTCCTTAACCACCAATGGGAAAGCAGAATCCCTCAACACTGCGAGGACCTCAGTGCTGCAAGAGCTGACAGAGCTGGACAAGCAGATCGAAATCATCAAGCAGGAGCTGCAACTTGCCATGGATAGGAAATCAGAGCTGGAAGAGTATGCACGGACAAACAGAACTGCAGAGTCCTAGGCCAGAATATCTGTGCCCTTCCCCTTTTCTTCCTTTCCCCCTTTCCTCTGTAAAATTTGTAACACACTTTTGTAATGCCAGAAAGGGGTGCAAAAATAAACCAGGCAATAAGCTCTTCAGGAGAGCAGAATTGCTCTCCTGAAGAGCTTATTGCCACAGAGCCCACAGCCACTGCCACCCTCCTGAATTCCCCTCCTTTCACAGCAAGTTTCTTATTCTCCTGGAAAACACCAGCCATTCCCAAGGGACTGGAGAGACAAGGAGCATCCCAATGGGAGTTCCTTGTTTCTCCACTTGACCGTACAGTGAGGTTTCACTTTTTTAGCCCTTTCTGTGCATTAATTAAAAAAAAAAAAAAAAAAAAAAAAGAAAAAAGACACAAAAAAAGAAGTTTAAACTGTTCATTGGCAGTATGTCCCTTTGTTGGTACATTTTTGTTGTGTTCTGTGTGGGTCTAGTCTCTGTTCATGTGAAGGCTCCTCACGGATGCCTCTTTACGGCAGGTGCTGTTCTCTGTTGGCAGTCCCTTCCCTCCTGGCACAGGCTCACAAGACAAATTCCTGGTGGCAAACCCACCACACACCATTCCCTCAGCTCTGTCAGCATAAACTGGAGGTGTGGCTCCTCTAAGGCTGTGGTGAAGGAACTCAACCAGCTTAAAATAACTTGGCAAAAACCAAACCACCAGTTCTGTCTGCCTGTGAGCCTAGGCTGGGCTTCCACTCCCTCCCAGGGAGAAGCTGTGCAAACACTGCACTGACAGGTGAAGGGATGGATTCACAGTGGCACAGGACAAGGATGAGAAGGGAGAGGGGGCACTACTGTAAATCAGTATTTACCTCAAAAAGTGAAATATTTGCCAGTGTGAAACTACTTCCTTAATATTGTCTGTCTTACGATGAAAATAAGGTCCTTTCTCACAGATGAGGTGACTAAAGGGGCTCTGGACCATGATTTATTCAGATACCAAGGTCCCATCAATACCAAAAGGAGTCACCAAAACCACCCTGTGGGTGAAGAATGAGAATTGTGGTTTCTGAGGCAATGTACTGAATGGAGCTCTCTCCCTTCTGGGTGATGAGGGGAAGGAAGGGTAAGCTGTTCAGCATCTCAATAAACACTGCATCAACCCAAGTGACTGTGTTTTTTAAATAGGTTTTCTACCAATTTTTAAAAACCATTTCTCAACACATTATTACAGAGAAAAAGAAAGTTTGTAACATTGACTCTTAACTCTGGTCTCCCAGATGAGTCACCAAAGTAATTTTTACCCTCCCTGTATCTCCAGTCACCTGCAGAAATGTTGCCCGGGGTGTTCTTGTTAGGTGAAGTTCAAAGGCTGCAGGTAGATTGAGGAAGACATTCTACCTATTTGCATCTCTAACCTTTGAAAAGCCCTTGTATATTAAAACCTTTGCATCAGTGCTAAAAGCTGATCACAGTGAGACCCAGACTAATTAGCCTCAAGAGCTGATTGTTCCCTGCTCAGGGCTTGTTCTCTGCTTTTGTGTGTCTGCTCCTTCCAATACAGTAACAAGTGGAAGAGAAATTAGGACATAAAACTGGAAAGTGGGATCCACAGGCCTGCACCTTGGTAGGTCTAATAGATCTGGGATGTCCCCACGTTCCTGACAAACTGGATGGACCCTTACCCACTCAGGTTACTTTTGTTGCCTTCCCTTCCCCTCCCTCCCCCCTTTAGAAAATCAGATCTCTAGAAAGAGCTTTTTCTTTGCGTAGCAGCTGGTATCTTATGACCTCCAACATCACTTGTTTAGAACAGATGAATATTGCTCTTTTCATTAAAACACTAGGAAAGAAGTATTTTAGTCCAATTTTATAAGTACTTTTATCAAGGCTTTTATGTCCTTATCTCTACACACATGAGCCCAGAACCAGATATTTTAAAAAACCTGAAAATATTAATCATATCTTAAACAAAAATGTTTTGCACAACAAATCCTTCAACAAATCTGACTTCATTTAAAAGTAAAAATATAAATGGAAAAATGTCAACCACCTAGTAACTACTGTTAAGCAAGTGTTATTTCTGGTGGTTGTCTGAGGAGCTTCTCCCATGTCAAATGCAGAATAGGGATTGCTCTGAATTACTGCACCACCAACATATTTTGGCATGTTATTTTTCTGTTCAGCTACTGCTCTAGCCTGATCCCCTGGGGGCAGGAGATTGCTGTGGGTTTCTGTGGGAAAGGGAGCAGCACAGGCACACCAGTGCCTGCAGACTGTGGCAGAGGGGAGGATCTGCTGTGACAGAAGGTACATGGGAGACTGGAGACACTAAATTTACAGACTGTTTTCATAAAGAATACCATCACTTCTTCACTTTTTTACCCCAATACTTACTAGTCCTGGTAAATTTTAATTATTTCCATACATTCCATTTCTTAGTGGTTTAATTAAAAGCACAGAGAAACTCAGTTTCAGAAATGAGCTTGAAATAAGCTATTACTTTAGAACAAAACCAACACATTTTTCTTGCTAAGGGAGGAGTTTCCAAAACTCCTCTGTGAAACTAATGCAGATTGTTTGAAGTATCCATTTCCCGCCAGGAGCAGAGGGACAACAACCTGGGCAGACTGCACACAAGGCTCATTTCAGTAGAAAGGTGATACAAGAGAGACTGGGGATGGACAGAGGGGCTTTGCAGCTCTGCTGGGGCTGTTCAGTTCAGGTTGCTGTTCACAGTTGTAAAAGGAACTCTTGATGCTGTAGCAAAACTGTTTGAAGGTGCAGACAAGTCCTGGTTGTGATGAAGAAGCATTTGTACCCCAAAATCTACCAGCAGCTTACCACACCATTCTTTAGCCAACTTGCTGCCAGAACTTGTAATCCTGGGAGCAACTTCCAGGGAAAGGGGAGTGGGCTCTACTCTCATCCCTTCTAAAAGCTCCTACACCATGGCAGGAACTCTCAGCAGCCCAGGCAGCCCTTGGAAAGGGAGGATGCCGTGTTCCTTCTCACTTGTAAGGATTCTTTAACATTTACAAGGCTTTACGCACATATTCCAAATGTCTTAATGAAGACAATGAATAGTTTAAGAGCCTGTGATGAACTTTCACTTTGCATATGGTATTTCCTGCAGGGAGGGGATTGAGGAAGGCAGGAGATTCCATGCTTCAGGGAAGTGACGCCATAAGACAAACCTCTGACAGGTGCACCTTCCATGCAAAGTAAGTTTACAGGGAAAACACTACACCCTAGGAAAAAATGCCACAAATCAACAACTTCCCATTCTGATTTTAAGCCGACTTCAAATGCAGTCTCCAGCCACAGGGAGCACTGAGACTCCAAGCCACACAACATCCCTGCCAATATTCCCAGCAGCCATGACAAAATGGTTGCAGAAATAATGCAACATCCTGGCCCTCCTGTTGTGTCAGGAATAAGCTACTGGGGATACAGCCAAAAGGACAAAAGTTGATATAGCTGAGCATATTTTGAAAGGAGAGGAAGGAAGAAATTAAGTGTCTCTACTGTAGAAGTTTAAAGCTTGTGAGAAATGTTTCCAATAATTGGACAAAGGATGGGAGAACAGACAGTACCAGAGGCAGGAGAACCAGAAAAATAAACCAAACAACAGCTTTAGTAAGAATTTGTGCAGTACAAGATTCTTTGTGGTAAAGCTGTAGCAAAGGAACCGCTAAAAGTCCTTTTCTGAGAAGGACAATGACAGCAATGCCTCAGCCTAGGGGAAGGTGAGCACATCAACCAGGGCTCATCAATGGAATGCTATTTTCTAAGGGTCTCCAAGATCTCTCCTTTCTCCTCTTCTGGATATTTAGCTGTGTTTGTTCAGGGCTAGGGAGGATGTTTCCTAGTGCACCAGCCCTCAGGGGGTCTTGTCTGTGCTCAGGAAGACAAACAGGTACCATTGAGTCTACAGATTCAGTTCCTTGGCCTCTACTGGGCCTGTTAACTGAGAAGCTCTTCCCTGCCAGGAGCAGTGCCATTCCTTGATGGGATTTAATTAGCAGAGCCCTCAAACAAAGCTCTCACTAATCTCTGCTGCAGCTCAGCTTCCATCCCACCAAGGCAGCACTTCAGCTGCATGTTCCCACCTTGGCAGTGTGAAAGCGAGGGATGGGAAATCTCCTCTCAGGCACAAAGAACACACAAAAACTGAGGGCAAGACTAAAGGGACAGAAAGGAAGCAAGATCCAAAGTGTGTTTCTTCTGAGACTCCGAAGGCACCTCCCAGGAGACACTGCAGCTCAGGCAGCAGAAGCTGAGAGGGAGGCTGGCTCTGCACCAGCAGGGGCTCTGAGAGCCTCAGCCGATGTAGATCCTGTGGAAGTCGTTGGCCCCAAAGGCCGCGTTGCACTTGGGGCACTTGCGCTGCCGGGTGTCGTAGCGCGTCTTCACGCACTCGAAGCAGAAGACGTGGAAGCACTTGGTGAGCACCGCGTCCTTCTTGCGCACGTTGCAGCAGGGGCACGTCAGGCGGGCCTGCAACACACACAGAGAGCTGTGAGGGGCCCTGCAGCCCAGCTGTGCTCAGAGATGTCTCAACATGAAGGTACTTCCATTTCTCAGAAGGTGTCATGGTTTGACCCTGGCACAATGCCAGTGCTTCCATGAAAATACACTTTTTCTAGTGGATCCTGTGAGATGTGATCAGGAACAGAGCAAAGCAGGCTCCAACTTAGGAATAAGGGAAACAAACTTTATTAATTACAATATCTAAAAAGGTACAGACATGGAACTAAGAATGAAAACCCTCCAAATACATTCCTCCTCCTCCCCCCATTTCCTCTACAGCATGAAATGACATCGTAGATTTCCACCCCATCACCATCTCTCAGATAATCAACTTTCAGTCCATCATCACCCCTCAGATAATCAACCCTCAAGTCCATCAGGGAGAGAGGAGTCCCCCCTTGCACCATAGGCTTTCCCCAGAAACACAATTGAAACCTCTTGTGTTTTCATGTCACTCGTGGCACCGCCCGGAGAACATCTGCCCTCATGACTTCTTCCCTCCATGTCCAGTGCTCTGTTGTGTGTGTTTTCTTTCTTTTTTTCCCTTTTGTGTCTATGTAGATTAATAAAGTGTGGTTTGTTTTTTTTTTTGCTCTCCATTCCCCAGTTGGAGCCTGCTTTGTTCTGTTTCTGCGTCACATCTCACAGTAACCATTATGGAAATATACCTTTCATGGGGGCACTGGCACTGTGCCAGGGTCAATCCATGACACACCCATAGTTTCATCCCCTATAATCCAAGAGACAACATGATCATGTGATGACACAAGTATTGTCAGTTATCAGGGGACAAAATCTGAAAGAGCAAAGACCTGATGAAGCCAAAATCAAAGTGAAACTGGACACCAAAAGCAGTTCAATTGAAACCCTCTGCAAGCTCAGTGTACAAGAAGGACACCAAAGGATACAGATCTTGAAGGATTGTGCACAGGATATAGGCATCCACCTTGGAAAGGGAGACAGAGGGAACAGAAGGAATTAATGCATGCTCTGTGGGTCTTCAGAGCTGGAGCCAAACCTTGGTACACTGCAAAGCACATCACTTAGAAAAACACTAATGATGATCCAAATCCCTTCTTAACGTATTTTCAGCCTTCCAGCTTCCACATTTTCTCTATTAAAAGTGTTCAGAGGCAGTTCTGTAGCTGAACTAGACAGAACTGCAAGATACCTATTTCTAACAATCTTCTTTCTCTCTTCTCTAGCTCTCTTCTAACTTTATAACTAAATGCCGTAATGGTGCTCTCAGTGACTTCCTCTCCCAGCCTGTGCCCATGTCTGACGTAGTTCAGACTGAACCACGGTTTCCAACTCCTCCTGCTTGTTACCAGTATATACAGCTATAGGTAGAATATACAGGCAGAAGCACTGTTCCAACAGGAAAAGGACTTCCCACTTTTCCTCACCCATCTGCTCTCCATAGCAGTGAACCTGTAGGACATTGTAATGCTCATACAGCAGCCTCAGTTTCCTACAATGGCAGGCCCCCTTGAAGCCTGATGCATTCCTAGGCTGGTGAGAGGAACACTCCATCCTGGACTGATTCTGGTGAGGACAGCTAATTCTCTTCAGAGCAGCTCACATGCTACTGTGTTTGCATTTTGGAGCAAAAGACTGTCAGTAACACAGCACTGTTTTAGCTGCTGCTGAGCAGTACTTACACAGCACCAAGACCTTCTGTGTCTCATGCTGCCCACCAGCAGGTGGGCTGAGGGTGCCCAGGAAGCTGGGATGCCACACAGCCACGACAGCTGATCCAGCTGGCCCAAGGGGTGTTCCACACCCTACAATGCTGTGCTCAGCAATAACAGCTGGTGGAAAGGAGGCAGTGGGAAGATGTTCAGAGCTGAAGCGTTTATCAAATAACAATAAGGCCTGATGAAGCCCTGCCTTCCTGGAGATGACCAAACTCCTGCCTGCCCCAGGAAGTAACCAATTAATTAATTTCTTGTTTCACTTGTATGGACATATTTGCTTTAGCTGTTAAACTGCCTTTATTCAGCTCACTTGTTTTCTCACTATGTCCCTTCTGGTTCTTTCTCCTCTCCTTCAGTGGGGGAGAGAGCAAACTCTCTACCCCACTTGTGTGCAGCTGCCTAAAGAGATAACCCACACCTCCACCTTCCCCAGCAGCTCTCTTGTCCTCTTTCCTTTTCCCCTATTACCGTGTTTTCAGTGTCAAAACTTGGTCTGCTAGCTCCTCCTTTTCCTCTTTCAGCAGCTTATGCATCTGGTTGGACTTGATACGTTCTGACATCAGCTTGAAGTTGGCATCATCCTTCTCCCGCAGCTGCTGCATCAGGCGGATGCAGCATGCATCTGTTCTGCTCTTGCATGTCTTCAAAGGCTTGGCCTGTGACATCCATTTCCGACAGCAGGGCCTCTTCCTCCTGCAAAAGAACCACAGGCTCTGGCCAAACTGTGCTCTGGACCCCCGATAGTGAGCCTGAACATTTTATTCAGAGACACCAAACCTAGTGAAGATGGAGGAAGATTCTTGGTGTGAGGGAACACCATTATCCAAACAAGCAGAAAAATGTATTCCTACAAGTCTGCACCACAGCAGAAATACTCTGAATTTGAAGGTGCAGAGAAAAGATGATTCTGGCAGAATCAGGTTTGACGCAGTCATTGCCAGAGCTGGGCAGAAACCAACACCCAATTCCCAGCAGCTGAACAGCTGTCAGATACAACACGCCAAAAATTCTACATGTGGGCAGCTTGGCAGCTTCCAACTAACAGGCTGCCAAGCTCCTTAAACTCACTTTGGCCACTTCAGCATTGACAAGGTAGAGCAGTTCTGTTCTACAATAAGAAGAATCCAAATTCTAAGAAAGTACATGTCAATTCATTGACTTGCCTCTACCCTGCTGAGGTGGTCCTGCTCTCTCACTGGATTGAGCCTTTTTTAGCAGAAGGTATGTACCACTTGCATGAAAAATATTCACTAGATGAGCTGAGGAGTTAATAACTTTTAAAAAGAAATTATAATCTCTTCCCCTAATGGTTGATAAAGCAAATTCTCCTCTGTATGCTTCACCAAGGCCACATGTTTAACTGTTTATTTAAGGTTTAATTGTTATTAAACATTTCCTACCATGGCCTGCCTGTGATATCCCAAAGCTGAGGGTGGAGAGGTTATTTTGTTGGTGGTTCTTTTGCTTGCTCAGTTTTCTTCCCCTTTGGTAAACAAGCACCAAACTCCCATCTCTGGCCCATACAGATATAAATTCCTTCTCTCCTCCTGGATGTAACCTGAGGGCAGCTCCTTCAGTTACCCCAGCCAAAAGAGAACTCATCAGGAATTTCTCACCTGCTTAGCCATGGCAAGCTTCTTCTGTAAATATTCAATCTGTTCCTCCACTGCTCGGATCTTGCGGAGGGCATCCTCATCAGCCATCTTCTTACTTTCCTTTTTTTCCTTGTCTTCCAATTCTTTCACCCTCTGCCTCAGTTCTTCAAGCTACAAAAACCAACCAGAAATGACACTAAACACAAGGATATGCCCTGAGCATTGTTAAGAGTCTGTTTTCTCCAAAATTCTGTGAAACACTCTGAACTGCCTTCAAAGCATGGCCAAAAAATCCAGGTTGTTTTGACAGAGTATTACAGGCAGATGTACCATTGAGATGGGCAGTAAGCCCAAGATCTTGACTTCCACACCTTTGAAAATTTCACAGCATCTTTTATCAGAGTAGGAACATCAGTCTCCTGCAATTGCACATGTATAGATATGTGCTCAGAGAGCATCTGCTCTTTTAAGGCCATCTGGTAAAGGACCTTCTTCCATACAAGAAGGAGATAGGAAAAGGAGGAGGTAAAATAAAACATACAGAGACAAAAACTTGGCAGATAAATGGTAAGGGAGGCATTGATAAGAATGAAACTTGGTTAGTCACACTAGCTGATGAGAGCACATAAGAGTGTGAAAATGTTTACTCCATCAACGTTATCTGAGTGTGGGAGAAGGAGAAAACCCAAACCAAAATATACGGAGATACAAACCTGACAAAACAAACACAGAGACAAAGAGAGGAAGCAAACCTCTCCAGTCACAATAGCTGATAAACTTCCAGGAAACTACAGGAACCACCTCCAGGAAGATCAGCTTGGATTTTGTAACTGATGACACTGTAAAGCAGGAATGGCTCCTGAACTGGGACGGCTGTGGCAATTAAGAGCTGCTCAAATCCAGAAGCAATGTGCAGGGAAATGGAGACCCAAGGATGAACAAACTGGGGTTAGACAGAGAAGGGTATAAAAGGAGCCAGTTCCTTGGGAAATATGGGCAGTCAGTACACATTTGTCTGGCTTGGCCTTGCCCATGATCATCACAGCCTGTTCTGTCCTATTTTCTTGTATCTTTTCATTACACATTTTCCTAAGTATACCGTGTAATCTAACTCTTTACCCCAAGTATGTGTGCTGCTCAGAGGAAGTGCTGCCTATAGGTGAGACCTGCTTGTGAAGAAGGCAAGAGGGGCTTGGAACCACAGGGGTCCTAAAGAGAGGAACATGCTGGAACTTAAGGGATCTGCAAATGGGTCTGTGCTTATGAATCTACAGATTGTTGTGTGTGTGTGCCTGCACTAGCAACTAGTCCCTGTTTATCTCCAGGCCACTCCAATCTCTAAGCAACAAAGCTGAGAAGACAAACAATCCTCAGTTCTCAGGAGACAAACAACACAGTTCTACTGCAGAGTATCTGAAAAGAAGGTCAAGTAACACATTAAAAAGAAAGGAGGAAGAGAAATTAGGAATACCTCAGCTTTTGCCTTCTTCTCAGCTGCCATCAGCTGCACTTTGTCTCTCTGCTCTTTGGGGGCAGAGCGGTACATATCCAGCAACAGTTTCATCTCCTTCTGACTCTCCTGGGCCTTCCTGGAGAAAGGGAGACAGACCACAGAGAGAACACAGCAGCAAAGCCACACTGTTACACAGCCAGCACCACAGCCTGGCAATATTCTCTCATCCCCCACATGGACATGGAGTAGCTCGTGGTTCATTTTATTCTGGTAACATAAAACAGCAACTGAGTGTAGGCCGGAAATAAAACATGTTCAGGCATATGGGTTGAAATGCAAGAAGTGGGCTGGAGATGAAATACGTATCCTAATAACTACAAACTATCCACCTCTGCTTTGGGAGCCAAATCGTCCTTACAAACTTGGAAATTAATCCTTCCCCCACAAGTAATTTTTAGTAATACAAAATACCCTGTCATAAACCAAATTGGTAGCAAACTGTATCTATTATGCAGCATCTAGGAAAAAGTCAGATAACATGGAACTAGTCTCCCAGTAAAACAGATGAAGAGCTTTGTTTTTTTAGATGAAGTGACCTGCCAGAACAAGTATTTAACAGTAACAAGGAATCAACTCAAGTGTTCTAGCGCACAAAACACTTGCAGATAAAAAGTCATGCCAGTTTTATATGCAATCATAAGTCCTTGCAAATTCACAGTCCTTAAGTTTCCACTCAACATTCTTTTTATGCCCAGCATCCTAAGGGAAACATGTCATGTTACAAAAGAAATCTGATTTAAATGCTACTTCAGAAGTAATTTATTTCTTCTGATGAAATTTAAGAATTACTGCTTTGATATCTAGATTGTCCTTACACACTTGGAAAGTAATGCAAAATATCCTGCTATAAACCAAATTGTTAGCAAACTGTATCTACTATGCAGCATCTAAGAAGAAGTCAGATAACATGGAACTGGTCTCCCAGTAAAACAGATGAAGAGCTTTGTTTTTTTAGATGAAGTGACCTGCCAGAACAAGTATTTAACAGTAACAAGGAATCAACTCAAGTGTTCTAGCGCACTGTAGCCCCGAATGGGCATTGGTGGGTAGGTGGTGTGTGTTTGTAGGCACAGCAGAACAACACCATACCTGCTTGCTCATTGGCAGCAAGTGTCTCTTCAAACTCTATCCTCAACATCTCATATTCTTTGCGAACTTGTGCCAGGGTGTCCTCCAGCTGAATCACCTCAGTACGCAGCTTCTTGTGAAGGCTGACCTCATCCCTCTGCGGAACAAAAAGGAAACAGAACTTGGTGCTTTGAACCTGGAGTGTCTCTCACCTCATCAGTATCAGGTACCACAAGAGCCCGAATTAGTGCCACAGTGGGAAAGAAAGAAATTCATTGACTCTTTCAAGAGCATCTCTCCCCACACAAGTTCCCTGATTGTTTCTGTTCTCTCGTTTCCCCTTGCACAGGGCGTGGGGAAGGTGGAGGAGGGATCACTACTTGTAAAGAGGTGAAAACAGTTTTAACCAGACATGGTTAAAATGGATTCAAAGATCAGAACGGGACACGGACAGGAAACCATTACAATTTCCAACGGTGGCCACACGGTGTCACCAACGCCCTGAGCTGCAAGTGGAGTGACAGACTCGCTGAATTGTACCTGGAGCAAAGCATAACACGGCTAAAGAGCAGGCTCAAAACAGACACTGCCAATGAGGTTTTCTGCAGACACAGCAGTGCAAAGCTGAGGGCAGCCCATCCCACAGAACACCTTCATCCTCACACAGCTGCAGGTGTCTCACCTTGAGCTTTTCATTCTGTGTTGTTACTTCCTCAAGATCCTGACGTAGTTCCTCCAATTCATTAAGGCGATTTCCAGCAAGCTCTTTATTCTCTTCCAGCTCTGCATTCATCTCCTCAAACTGTTGGGATAAACTGCTTGTAAATCCTACTGTTAATGTGTCTCCTGAGAGTGCTAACAACCTATCTGTTCATGCAGTAAGAGCAGTCACAGACTGAGCAGTCAAGTAACTTGACCAAGTGAGACAGAGTCTAATTCCACCAGGTGTTTCTTACGTAGAAAACTCATATACAGACAAAATGGCTTGTCCAGAGTCACCCAGCTTTGTGGCATGGAGCTGATATTTCACCCAACAGTTTCACCCAAAGGTTTATTTCAAAAGATTAAAAACCCAATCTTAAGCTAATGATGTTTCTTCAGCAGTTATCTGAGTCTAAAGTGAATCTGCTACATTAATTTTTATAAACTGGTCATTTGGCTTTCTCTGCAGAACTCTGCTATGTTCAAAACTGACAGCTACACTAAGCACACCACAAGATGGGTACAATTTTGCTCAGAACTCAGTGGAAACTGAGCAGCTTGTTATTCCTACACCATCTTCTAAACCACAAAGGAGAAGGAGTCCACCATCAGTTCATAATGCTGATTTCACTTCTTTACTTGTAAGCGTGAAACCTTTTATGTGGTGGCTGAGGACAGCTGGCTAAGAAGGTTCAACTGTTCTCTGACTTCTCAGGCACACAAACACAGTACTAGCAGAAACAAGCTGCTTCTTAGCCCAACATGCTGGGCAGAGCCCTCAGCATTCAAATACAGAGGTAGATACGATGCACTTCTGGCACGTGGTCCTTTAGAAGAGGTTTTGATAACAAGAGTTTGGAAAGCCAAACAAATTCATTTTGGAAAATAAATGCACATGAGAAGGACTAGACCTTAATGTTTACAGTGCAGGATCAGGTCTAAGGTGAGGGCAGATAAGCGTTCCTGAATACCTGCCACCTTGGTCATACCTCCACTGTTCAGCTTGTGAGACACCACATCCACCTTCTCCTGTAGCTTGTCATACATTGTCACAATCTGGGCAACAGCACGGTGGGAGGACTCCACACGCTCCTGCAGGAGCTGCTGGCTAGAGTGGCCAGGAAGGAGAATGCTGGCTCCAGTCCTTCCCCTGGGCACATGAAGAGATGAAAAAAAGTAAGTGTGTTCTAGAAGGTAGCATATCACTGCTCTTTACAATCACAAAAAAAATTCTCTGCCAAGCATTGTCCACAGCTGAAATTTGTAGTCATGATATTATAAAAAATCCTTTGCTGGGCCAAACTGAAGAAACTAGAAGTAAATGAAGTGCAGACAATATCAGTAAAACCCAACTTGCTCCATTTAAGCCCTTACTAGCACTTACAGTCAAACCAGGGGTTAGAAACTGAACCTTCCAGTTCTTATCTGCTTTAATTGAGCAGTTCTACTGAAAGCAACAAGGCTATTGCCATTTGAAGATGAAGCTGGTGCATTCCTTTGCCAAATCTCAGCATTTCACAAGCATCTCAGCTTGGCATTGCCCTTTGTTGTATGCAAAATAGCGTAGAGATTATTTCTAAGTGAGTTACTGAAACAGCACATATGGGGATCCTGTGAGGTATCTTTTAACAGAAACATTAAATTACACCTCAAATTAAAAAAGACAACTTTCACTGAACCATTTTCCGTCTCTTAGCAGCAGCACTGACTGTACCTGAAATTCTAAACTCAAGTTAGCTTGGTAGTAGAATATTTACAGATTTCAGGTATGCACATGGGTTTTACAGTGTTTGGAAAGCTGGGAGGAGTGAGGTTTGTTAACCTGCAGGGAAAAACGTTCCCTCTGGAGTCCTCAGTTACTCACTTGTTGGAGGTGGTGAATTTGCCTAAAGGTGCTGCGGCTGTCTTTTCCACCAGAGGAATTGGAGATAATTAAAGGTAGTGGCGTACAGGAAAGAGAGAACTGGTTAACAAAGGACAGTAAACTGCAGATGCTAGGAGCTTTGACCCTGCAGGTGTTGGGAGGGCTCCATGTGAGTCACTGGGACTTCCAAGGACTGGCAGAGACGTTCATCAAGATGTTGAACTGCCTTGTTTTAGCAAAACAAGCTAATAAGGGGTGCCCAGCTAAAGTTAACAGCCAGACAACAAAGGAGATTGCAAGGCAGGGAAATGATCTTGGGCCCTATGTCCTTACCTGGGGTGTTGGGTGTATTTTACTGTGATGTCCTGGACAAGAGGGCTTGGCTATCCTCTGGAAGAGGTATGCTGGCTGGCAGGGAGGCCAGAGGAGTTTCTAACAGCTTCAGCAACTATTTGATCAGTGTGAGAAACAAGGCTCACTCTTCAAAATTTTAAAGGTATAATAAGGGATAAAGCAAAAGTAACAGCACTGGGTGCATAGCCAGTTGCACACGGTTAACTGTAACAACTATTCTTATATACTTTTTCATTGCATTAGTCACATGCATATTTATGACAATTACATGTATTCAAACATTCCTTTGCGTTTACATGTTCCAGGAATTCTTTATCTTTGTTCAATCCCTGACCTCATCTTCTTAGAGTACATGCCACAATGCATATGTGATTTTCAGAGTCTTGTATTTTATTTCCTCACGAGGCCCCCTGGTCTGTGGTTAGAGTTATTGACAGCCAAAGGGTCACTGGTAGATTCCTCCTCTCTTTCAGTGTTACTTGCCTGGCTCTTTTCAAAGTTGTCATACAGAATTCTAGCCATTTTCACAAGTACTTCCAATCAACATTAGCTATTTCACTACTTGTCAGTTAGTTACAAAAATACAGGCATTAGTTATTATTTCACAGCTACAATTACTTCTGCAAAAGTTAATGTTATAATACACATTGCATAGCCTCTATTTTAATATTTTGTGAAATCCTGAACTATAATATATATCACACGAAGATATACAATCTACACCCTAATCTGGGATTAGGGTATTAACCATAAAAGGCTGAAAAATTATACTGTATCAAAAGCAGTTTAAGAGCAATTACAACCTGCACTACATCAAAATAATTTACTAAAGCCAATAACAGCAAAAGCCAATAACTACATAAATTATTCATAACAATCAGTTAACAAATGGTTTCTGAATATGAGATTGTGAAGGCAGTGGACTTGGATGGGGGAGCTTGTTTTACAGGGGGATCCTTCAAGGGATTATGGCTGCTTTAAGATTTCGTGGGACCTTCATACCCCCAGGCACCTTGAGAATTCAGCTCAAATAGAAAGGATGAATGGAGCAATAAACACCCTTTGAAGCTGGTGACAGAAACTAAGATGCCATGGGTACAGCTTTTGTCATTAGCCTCGGCAAGAATAAGAGCCAAAGCGGAGGGAATACTTAGTTATTCCCTGTTGAATTGTTTGGGATTCTTACCTTGTTCATTTCCAAGGTAGCAGAGAGGAGATGTATATTTAAACCAGTATGTGGCCAGGATACTGTGTCTTGTGAAATCTCTTCGACAGGAAGCCCAGTTAGCACAGACACTGCCTTTGAACTTTGCTGTTCATAACACCCAATCAGGACTGCAGAGAGAGCAGCCAGGAGAGCTGAACACGGATGGACCTATCACACTTGAAACAAGGTCTCGAAAGCCCTGGAGATTTGGACTTCTCAGCTGGAAGAAAATGATTGAAGACCTCAGCTATCAGTAGCCATGGACAAAGACTTCTACTGATTAATGGGTTAATATGAACTGTTATTTTCTTCTTTTTTCTCTGTATTTACTTGCCACACCTGGTGCAGTGATCAGACATGGAAATGTCGGCAGGGGGTGTTTCAAATGCTCCATGTTGCGAAAAAGGGTTCATAATAACTAGGCTTTGTAAAGACAAATTGAGAAATAAGAAGAGGAGGAACTGAGAGGAAGGATGTGCGCTAATGTCTTTACAAAGACATAACTGAATGGGTGTTATCGTCTTTGAAATGACGTTAGTGTCTCTGACTTTGGGCAGCAGGTTTGCTGCAGAGCTCAGACAGTTTGGCTCCTGAGAAACAAGACTGAACTTCGGAACTTTGGGGTAGAACAGGAGTTTCAAGGGGGGATATGGGGTAGGCGGTTCGGGAAGGCTGTATCTCAGCCAAAGGGGAAAGGCAGAGGGCAACATACGGCCAGGAGTTTAGGATGAAAGGAGGCTGCACCCTCCAAAACCCTGAGAGAGAAAACCCTGTGGGCGTGTGCCCCGGTGGACTCTCTCCCTTTATTCGAATAAAGGTGATGGACTCCTTTGTCTCCTTTTTGAACATAAACCCTAGTGTTTGTGGATTTTCCTGACACCAGGAAAGTGTGGAGTTTCCTCCTCTGCAGACATCCCAAACCCACGTGGATGTGTTCATCTGTCACCTGCTCCAGGTGACTCTGCCTTGGCAGGGGGGCTGCACAGGGTGATCTCAACCCGACCGATTCTGTGATTCAGTTTCCCACACGCACCAGCCGCTCCCACACCTCCTCCACTCTCCCACATCCCGCAGGAGTCCTGCTCCTGTCCCTGCCATCTTCCCACAGCACCAGCTGTACACGCCACGGGCCTGTCCCTCCTTCTGCAGGTGTGCGCTGCCTCCAGCCCCCAGTGATCCCTGCATCCTCCACATGGCCATCTCCCGGCTCTCCCTGGCCCCAGGCTGCCCCACAGACCCACCATCACCCTGTCCAGCCGCCCTTTTGCCCCCACCCGTCAGGGGAGCGCTGCCTTGCCCTCACCCGATGCTGGTGCCGGCACTCACACCAAAGATGGCGGCACGGGCAAAGCCGCCCCTGCCCACACGCGGCCCCAGCAGAGCAGCCGCCTCCCTGCCGCCCCCTGATGGAGCCGTGTCCCGGCCAGACGGAACCCGTCGGAGGGTGTGTCGGAGATGGTGAATATGGACAACACGTTCTGTGCCAGGCATGGTGTGGCTGCAGGGCCAGGGCAGTGATTGGCGCCCTGCGTCCAGCACTGGGGAGACCACGCCTCGAGTGCTGTGTCCAGTTCTGGGCCCCACAATTCAGGAAGGACACTGAGGGGCTGGAGGGTGTCCAAAAGAATGTCTTCAAGTCTCTTCATCATTTCCCCTTCTCCCATTTGACCTGTCTGCTTGGAAGTGAGGAGCTTTTTGCAACCCCAAACAAAATAAGGAAGCTATTTAGACTAAGACCTTTTTCCTGACTATGGGCTATGCAGAACAAAGAGTGATTTTGCTTTCACTGAACAAAGAGCAAGACTTTCTGATGGGATTCGTCAGTTTCGACTTTCTGAAAGTTCCTGCGCTTGCCTTGCTGGTTAGGGGTTGTGCTGCAAAGCAAAGGCAGAAGGATGATTGCAGCCAAAGAAAGAGGGGGTCTTCACCTCGCCCTGCCGTGCGGAGCCGGGCCAGCCCCGGGAGCCGCCCCGCCCGCGCTGTGCCCGCAGCCCCGGCTCTGCCGCGCTCTGCTGCGCGAGCGCAGCGCCCCCCTCAGGCCGCGCGCCGCCGGCGCAGCCGCGGCCGTTGCGCTGCGGGCGTTGTGGCCACAGGCGGCGATCGGAGCCATGGCGGAGCTACCGCTGCCCGCCGGGCTCAGCACCAGCGCCTTCCCCGCCAAGCTGTGGCGCTTGGTGAACAGCCCCCGCGTCCGCTCCGTGCGCTGGGATAGCCGGGCCCAGGGGCTGCTCATCGACCGCTCCCTGTTCGAGCGGGAGCTGCTCAGCCCGGGCCACGCCCACGGGGGCGGTGAGGGGGTGGGGCCGAATCCGGACTCCTTCCAGGCCACGCACTTCGGTAGCTTCGTGCGGCAGCTCAACCTGTACGGCTTCCACAAAGTGCCCGGCTGGGTTGGCTCAGCTGAGCCGGGCGATGCCAGGGCCTGGCTCCACTTCAGGAATCCCAACTTTCGCCGCGACCGCCCCGATCTCCTCCTCCGTATCAAGCGCCTGACCAGGGCCAACAGGCAGCGGCTGGCAGCGGGGCTGGAGGTGCGCAGCCGCCAGCCCAGCCGCTTCCAGCAGCTCCGCACGGAGCGGGCGGTGCCCTCCTTCCCCGCCGGGCAGCCGCCCAGAGCCGGTGAGACGGGGTGGAAGCTGCGGGCGCGGAGGGTGGCGTGGGCTGTGGCCGTGGGCACTGCCCGGCGGGGCAGGAGCGGGCCCTGCCCGTGCTGGGGCTGCTCAGCGCAGCTGCCCCGGCTGGCACAGGGGCTGTCCTTGGGCAAGGCAGCTGTGCCGGCAGGGCCCGGCAGCTGTGCCGGCTCTGCCGGGCTGCCGGGGCTGCGGGACGGTCCCGCCGCGGCTGCGCTCAGCACAGCCTGGCCCGCTCGGCTGCTTTCTCTTTCTAACCCTCCTGGGGAGGCTCTGACATTTCCTCTTCCCCGATGGAAGTGCAGCTGCTGGCAAGAGAAACGTCCCCATATACTGACTCATTGTTCCCTTTGCTTCCCACATGCTGTCCCTGTCCAGGATAGCTGCTCTGCCTGGGAGGAGGAGACCAAGGGAGAGGCTTTGAAGATGGAGCAGCTGGGATCCCTCTGCTTAGAATTTTGTTTACAGATGCACGGACTTGCACATAGACAGGGATTATTTACATGTGTCCAGATGTATAGCTCTGTGTTTGGATTTATGCAGTTGGACGGATATTTTGCTTGACACAGTGATATTTGTATAGTTATAGATAGGTTTGGTTTATATATCTACTGATATATATATGTATATTGGATGTAGTATGTGGTGTTTAATCTGTATTTACATCTGTAGATGGTTGTACTTCCATATGTATTTATATATGTGCATATACGTATCTATTTAACTCTATTTAAAGATGTATGGAGGGTATTGTTGTATAAGTCTATCTACTGAATTCTTAGTGTAGGGCTATTTAGAGAGGGAATGCATGTTTTTGTATTTCTATATGGGCTGTACCCTTGCAGTAATATGTAATAAATTAAGTTGTTAAATGCCTAATTGATCTTTGTGTATAGTGAGCTGCGTATAGTAGAGGTTGGCAATAAATTAAGTTTTGTTAACTGAAGTTGGTATTTGTATATTTTTACACAGACTGGTTGCAATAACCTAATACTGGTTCCCATAGACCTTAAATGCCACCCTGAGCTCATCGTTCCTCTGGTTCCTGTAGACCATCACAGCCCTTCCACGACCTCTCCAGAAAGAAGCAGCTGCACATCTTCAGAGCAGCATTTGCCAGCCTGCAGCCTATCAGGTAGGGAAAGAGTTTTTACCCTTGCTTTCCAAGCAGGTCCTGGTTAATGGCCCTTTAAAGAGTTTTCCTGCAGTGCTTGATCATGGGTAGATCTGAAGGGAGAATCAGGTAGAAAGTGTCAAGTCACCTAGGAAGAGGGAACTTGAAATCTTTCTTGAAAGCAGAAAGATTTTCCTGTCCTTGCTGCAGATTTGGAAGGTGTTCTGGGCATTTTCCAGACAGCCTCTCTGTAGGGGTACAAGGGAGAAGAGAAAAGTATTTCCTGACAAGTGGTCAGTGTTATGTGCACTCCCCTCTTTCTTTGAATGAAGCCAAACCAGGACAGTGATAGGATACTGCAGGTGTTTAAGACTGTCTGCCCTGCAAATCCAGCCGTGCCATTGAAATGAGCTCTGTGTGCCCCAGAAGAGTTGGAGCTGCAGAATACAGCCTCACCCACAAGGCTGGTTTTAGAAAAAACTCAGTTTGATTTCAGCATGTGTGTCTGAAGATCTGGGCTGTTCCTGGGTGAATCCACTTTCTGTGGTCTCTTGTGATGAGAAACTCAGGCAGCCAAATCCCAAAGCTGCTGGGAAGATGCAAAAGGCTGTGATTATAAAATGTGTGTGTGTGTCTATATCCCTTTTACAATCCATGCTTTAATCTATGTACATGTCAATTAGGATAAATATTTAAGAGGAAGAACTCACTTTTCAAATCCCCTGGGAAGTCTGAATACATTTCTGGAACTGAATTTGCTCTGTACTTCCTGTGATGTTTGATCCAAGGCAGCACTAGAGCTCTGTGTCCCAAAGACACATTGTGGAGCCTGACCAATGTGTTTGGATTCTTGCAGCCACCCCGAGCACTTCAGCCCCCAGTGCTCCAACTGGCAGTGCTGGTTTTGCAGCATGGACAGCCCCCAGCTGGCTGTGGAATACTCCTGGGGAAGAGGAATTGCCACCGCCGGATCTGGACATGGTGCTTGAGACACTGGAGGAGATGTTTTCTGCCTCTGCTCAGGTAAATGCATTGGACAGAGAAGAAAGGGGCTGGACTGAGAGCTTGTGAATGTTGTTGCATGGCTGAGAAGCAAAGGCTTCTTGAGTTCAGCTCAGTGAATGGACAGGGAAAGATTTGCTTCATGAAGCAAGATTTCCTAAAGAGGAGGGAATGAAAAAGTCTCCCCCCTAAGTAAGGATGAAAAGGTATGAACCTGTGTTGGCCAGGTTTGGGTGCTTGTTTTCCTGGGAAGAATCCCTCGTGCAGGGGCAGTTGTGGTGAGGAAGTGGAAGCTTTGTGGGTTCTAAGAGGCTGTGTTTGATGGGAAGGAAGAGAAGAGTATTTGGAGAATTGCCACTGAAGGCCAAGTGTCCCGTGCAGGGAGGGGCATGCGAGAGGTGCCTGTTCCAGCAGCAGATGTGGGCTGTGTCTCTTTTGGGTGGGAAGGCCAAGGCAAAGCAAGGGCTGGGCTGCAGCTGCTGCTGCTGTGTGAGCCCTGCCGTGTGTGTGGGCGCTCCCAGAGCCTTGTGTGGGGCTGGGCTGGAGCTGCAGCTTTCTTGTCCTCTCAGTAACCTGGTGCCTGCAGCCCAGTCTCCATCTGGGAAATGCTCAGCTGGGCAAACTGGCCAGTCTTGCTGTCCATGTTGCAGAGCTCAGTCACCTTGCTCTTGGGCTGCTCTGTGGGAAGAGATATGTGTTCCCATGCAGTCCCTGCCAAGCTGCAGCGTGGATGAGACTGCTGTGCTCAGGGCTGTGGAGGAAGGAGCACATCCCTGTGCCAGGAGCTGGCAGGACTCCTTCCTTAGCAGCCATTCCATGTGTTCAGTGTCACCCCCACGTTCAACACCGTCAACTTTGACAACTTTTGGTCTGTGTTTGAGAAGTCAAATCTTGGTGACTCTTGAAGGGCTTTGGGACCCAGAGTTCTTGTTATGAACAAGGGATTAAGAGGGTGAGCCATGGAGTTGTTGGACCAGGTGTTTTGTGTAACTGGTGAGAAGGGTTTTTCCCTTTCTGTTTCTATTTCAAGGGGAATACTGATGTTGCCCCTGAGTCTTCAGGAGGCAAGCCTGTGGACAGAGCTGCAGCGGAGGGAGCTTTGCCTGGCACAGAGAGCTGCAGGAACAATTCCCAGGAGCCCAAGGAGCTTGGTAAGGACAGAGCCCCCTTTGGTTTAGAGAGGTGTGAGATGGCTGCTCTGATCCTGCCTCTGGCACCAAGAGAGATGAGCAGAGTTGAGCTCCTGTCTGCAGGGCTGGTGCTTCCTGGTGCTTTTAGTTCAAATCCTGCACTGGCACAACCTCCCCAAGCCCTGCTCTCCACCCTTCTCCAGAGGCTCTGACACTGAGTCCTCTGCTGTGGCAAGAGAACAGGGAATAAAGCTGACCTTGTGGGAGTTGTGTCACCAAGCTGGGTGTCCCAGTTTTGTGCTGATGTCCATGGATAAATTTGCTGCAGGATGACAGTGCTCTGGAGGCAACACTGAGTGACTCTTGAAGCGAGAGAGGAAAAAACCCCAGCAAAAAGTCAGTGTAGAAGTCTGAGCCTTTTGTCTCCAAGCATTAAATCAATGTTGTACCAGTCTGCTGGTAGGTGTAGTGAGATACATTAAAAATAAAAGCAGCAGAAGTTCTGAGGCCAAATAAGTCATTAGTCACAAATCCAGTAGCTCAAGGAAAAACTGAAATTACCCCAAATTAGTGAGAATTACAGGAGAGATAGAGCACTTTGCATCTGCATTCTTGAGCAAAGCTGGTGCAGCCTGCAGGCCTGGCAGGGAGCTCTGTCCCTCCCAGCTGTTCATCCCAGAGCTGGTGGTTGTTGTGGAGGAGCTGTTGCTCCCTGCAGAGGGCCGGCTGTAGATGGCAGGGAACGGTGCTGGTTCATAGCTCAGCTGCCAGCACCCCTCAGCTTCAGCCATTTCCCTGAGGACTGAGGTCTCTCTGTCAGCACAGAGAAAGAACAAGGCTGCACTTCTTTGTGGCAGCTGGGACTGTCGGGGGTGCCCTTTGCACTGCGAGGCCTTTGAGTTTATTGGGATACTTCAAAACTTCAGAAGTTTTGAACACTTGGAAGGATCCTGGCTCTTTGAAGAGCAGGCATCAAATCGCCAAGTGAGAGTCTGCCTTTCAGGCCATCTTTTACAGTCCCTGATAGAAGGACGCTTACTTCCAAAAGGAAGAATACACAGAGGCCAATATTGACTCAGTGTTCCCTTTGCTTTCCAGATATCCACCTGATCTACCTTGCCAGGAGGGCTGCCCTGCGTGAGAAGAAGGATCAGAGGGAGAGCCTGTGACCATCGGGCAGGTGGAATCCCTCCATTTATACATAGATTCATAGATTTCTATAGTTCTATTTATATATCAATATAGTTACATTTATAGATTTATACAGGTGTGTTTCTATAGTTAAATCCAGATATATCATTATAGATGTGATGGAATTGTATATATGTAGTTACGTTTATATAGATTTTGAGATTTATATTTATATATGTATAGAGCAACATATTTATATTTATATTTATATTTACATTTACATTTATACTTTTATTTTTATTTTTATATATGTGTAAGTCTGCATAGCTGTTTAGTTAGAGGTATGTGGAAGTTTAGATGTATACATTGAGCTGTGTAGGCCTAGGCTGCATTTTTACCTCTTTGCCCCTTGGCTGCCATTTTCACCTCTTGCTTTTTCCCCTGTGTCCCCTGTGTCCCCTCTCCCTTTGCTGGGTCCGAGCTGGCGGCCAGGCCGGGCGGAGCAGCAGTTCCAGCCCCGGGTGTCCCTGGAGCGGTGGGAGCTGCCGTGCCGGGGCTGCGGGACGGTCCCGCTGCGGCTGCGCTCAGCACAGCCTGGCCCGCTCGGCTGCTTTCTCTTTCTAACCCTCCTGGGGGGGCTCTGACATTTCCTCTTCCCCGATGGAAGTGCAGCTGCTGGCAAGAGAAACGTCCCCATATACTGACTCATTGTTCCCTTTGCTTCCCACATGCTGTCCCTGTCCAGGATAGCTGCTCTGCCTGGGAGGAGGAGACCGAGGGAGAGGCTTTGAAGATGGAGCAGCTGGGATCCCTCTGCTTAGAATTTTGTTTACAGATGCACGGACTTGCACATAGACAGGGATTATTTACATGTGTCCAGATGTATAGCTCTGTGTTTGGATTTATGCAGTTGGACGGATATTTTGCTTGACACAGTGATATTTGTATAGTTATAGATAGGTTTGGTTTATATATCTACTGATATATATATGTATATTGGATGTAGTATGTGGTGTTTAATCTGTATTTACATCTGTAGATGGTTGTACTTCCATATGTATTCATATATGTGCATATACGTATCTATTTAACTCTATTTAAAGATGTATGGAGGGTATTGTTGTATAAGTCTATCTACTGAATTCTTAGTGTAGGGCTATTTAGAGAGGGAATGCATGTTTTTGTATTTCTATATGGGCTGTACCCTTGCTTTTTCCCAGATGTCCCATCTGCTGTCCCTGTCCAGGATAGCTGCTCTGCCTGGGAGGAGGAGACCGAGGGAGAGGCTTTGAAGATGGAGCAGCTGGGATCCCTCTGCTTAGAATTTTGTTTACAGATGCACGGACTTGCACATAGACAGGGATTATTTACATGTGTCCAGATGTATAGCTCTGTGTTTGGATTTATGCAGTTGGATGGATATTTTGCTTGACACAGTGATATTTGTATAGTTATAGATAGGTTTGGTTTATATATCTACTGATATATATATGTAGATGGTTATACTTCTATATATATTTATATATGTGCATATACGTATCTATTTAACTCTATTTAAAGATGTATGGAGGGTATTGTTGTATAAGTCTATCTACTGAATTCTTAGTGTAGGGCTATTTAGAGAGGGAATGCATGTTTTTGTATTTCTATATGGGCTGTACCCTTGCAGTAATATGTAATAAATTAAGTTGTTAAATGCCTAATTGATCTTTGTGTATAGTGAGCTGCGTATAGTAGAGGTTGGCAATAAATTAAGTTTTGTTAACTGAAGTTGGTATTTGTATATTTTTACACAGACTGGTTGCAATAACCTAATACATTCCTGTTTTTAACCTAAATTGAGGTTTGTATAGTTCTATATTGTCAGCACAGGTGTAGCAATTTGTAATAAATGACATTTTTCAGCTGAAATTGATTCTCATGTATTTGTCAATCAGCAGTGCGGCTGTAGCAATCTGCAAGAAATGCCATTTGTCAGCCGCGATGGGTGTTTTGTGATTTGTGCTGCCCAAAGCCGTGAGCAGATGGAAATGCTGCAGGATTTGGGCCATGGAAATCTCCGGCCATGCCCAGCACATGCCACACCTGCACTCAGGCTGGGCACGGGAAGCGCAGATTTGGGATGGCAGCAGAGCCACACATTGGCTCAGAACTCGCTGCAAAGGCCTGCTGAGAAAACTCCGGGACTCCACTGAGAGCAGAACTCCAAGCAGGAGGCACCCTGGCAGGAGAAATCATTCACAATGAAAAAGAGAGAAAATCTGGCAAAGCAGACATGGGGATGTTCTGTGAGTCTGATCAAATCCTCTCAATCACCACTGTCTAGGCACATTTTCTGCAAAAGTACTTTGTTAAAAACTGAACACCTCCTGTGAAATACAGATTGCACTTTCCCCTTCACTTGCCTAGCTGTGTGAATGGAGACACTCTCTCCTCATCACTGAGAATGTTTGCCCTTCAGCACCTCACATGAAATCAAAGATTGTGCACTACCATTTGGCACCATCAATGGAAACAGCCCTGCCCTCATGACAGTGTTTGCAAGGTCTTCCCTCCTCCTGTGCCCAGCTCACAAATGTAACCATCCCCTTCTGTCCAAACTGTGCCTGAGGTGAGTGAGGGCTCCAGGAGCTCAGGAGGGTGCAAGAGCACCGCAGGTGGGAAGGTTTTGCAAAGCTTCCTAAGCACCAGTAAACTCTGGGTTTGCCAGTCTTCCCTGGAATATTGTCCTACCCAAGAATGATCTTGGAGGACGCTGTGCCTCCAGCTCACTGGAGTAAAGTTTGTGTTCTTCAAGGCTTGAATAGAGGAAGATGAAAATTGTGATTTTGCAGTGAAATTTGGGCGTTGGTGCAGCTGGGTTTGTTCCATTATTTGCTGTGGAAAGTAGGCTAAAAGCTTTAAATTCCCAGCAGAAGCTGACTACCAGCCCACACAGACCTGAATGAGGACCAGGTGTGCTTGCTCCACGCTGGTCCAAGGGAAAAGCTGGAACAAAGTCCCCTTTTCTTGCAGATGGAGCCTGTCTGTACTGTTGTCTCCAGGGCTGTCTGTGTAAGACACGGCAATCCAGCCAGAAACTGTGGATATGAGAGTTCCAACAGCAACCTGCTTCTCCAGGGTGAGGGACGAGGCCAGCCCGAAAGCTGGAAGGTGCTCTGGGTACTGCAGAAGGCCAGGCTGTCCTTGTGCAGGGGTGGCCTTCAAAGGGGACCTCACACCTTGTGCTGCTGATGAAGGGCAGCTGGTGGCCTTCCACAAAATGCTTCTTTTGTCCAGCTCTTGGAAACGTTCCAGCCAGCAACAATTCCTGCTGCTCACACCAGCCCTTTCCAAGCAGGAGGAATTTGTGTAAGCAGCCTGACAGCTTAGTGGCAGGAGAATAAAATACTCAGGAGAGTGTTATCAACTCTCTGCCAGAAGCCACATCCTCAGACCCTCAACTCCTCCAGTTGTCTCAGACATGGAGGAAGCAGCAGGAAATCTCTGATCCTGGAGGGGAAAGCAGAAGGAGGAGAGGCAGTGGCTGCTCCTTGGGGCCTTGGGAGCAGTGAGAGCCATCCAAAACAGGACCTCTGCTGGGCTGTGGAGATAAGAGTGACGAACCAGCAATGCTCTGCCTGAGACCGGAGCCATCTGTGAACATGGGTATGGAAATCCAACCTTGCAAAACAGAGAAAAAGGTGTCCTTGTGTATTTGCCAAAGCTTGGGGAAGCTCTGAGCCTCCTGGTCTAGTGGAAGGTGTCCTTGCCCATGGCAGAGGGATTGGATCTTGAGGGTCTTTTAAAGTCCGTTCCAACTTAAGCCCCTCTGTGAGTCTGAATTAGAAACCCACAATGACAAAAAGAATGCAGCAAACCTGGGTCCTGCTATGTTATTGGAGGTTGCTGCAGTCACTTGTGTCACCTGGAGATTGGTTTGTATCTGGCAAAATTTTCATGGTCCCAGTATTTCAGTGTGACTTTCCTGGTTGAGGGCCCCAAATGATGCAGATTATTTGCAAGCACAGAATTGGTTAAGCTGCCTGTGAACCTGATGGGAGAAGTGTATTCATGTTATTGCAGCATTTACACAGGTGATACTTGGTTTCCATTTTGAATATGCAATGTTCTTGCACAATGTTTGTATATGCAAAAATACTGGCTTTAAATCCTAATTCCATCTTCACACAAGGATGTGTAACCCATCAGAAATATTTAACATGGAGCCATATTAGCTTTGGTATAGGTGTTTAAAGTGTGTGATAAATAATGGCAGCTCTAACAAATACCCCTCTTGTTAATTTGGGTCTGTCCTTTATCAACCCTGTTGCATAGAAATCACTTATTTACAGCAGAGACTAAATGAAATTCCTTAACACAGATGATAATTGTGCACTTCAGGCTGATTAAAGGGGAAGTTTTCTGTTATTGTGAAAAGACAATCTAGATAACCTGTTTGCTGTACATCCTGGAGGGGCTTTGCAGTTAAGAGTGAAAAAGACATTTCTCTTAAGAAGTGTCTTGAAAGTGCTTTTTGTATCACCAGGAGCAGCTACACTGATATTGACCTCCACAATTATAAATGTACAACAACCACTTACATGACTTAATCTGGTCATGATTTTAGCTGCAATTCCAAAATCTCATCAAATATGTTGCTATCCTTTAAACATGGAAGGAGAGCAGAAATACCCACATTTCTCATCAGCCTTCTGGGTTGGAAAGTAACCATTTAGTTGATGTTCCCTTAGCTGTCAGCCTAAACTCTGCTGTCCAAACCTTAGGTTTGTGTTGAAACTTCTTTAACACCAACTTAGGTGCAAACCTGCTACAAAACCCTGCAGGCATCATCACACTGATTTAGACTGGCAGGACTTCACTGTTCCAGCACAGAATTTACTTTCTCCTGCAAGACATTTCCACAGTGGAAGTGAAATCAGTGCCTTGCTATGTGGATGTGATAGGATTTTCCTCCTGTTCTGACAAACAACAGGGAAAACTATTTGTTTCTATTATACCGTTACATCTAAATCTTTGGTTTCAGAGTAAAAGGAAAACGTTACTTTAAGAAGTAATTTCTGCCTGGACTTTTTGGCATGAGGACGAACTGTGGTGTGCTGGCAGGAGCAGCACTGTCCCTGTGGGTACAACCTCCCCTGAAGGATGAACAGACTGCTGTCACAGGGGCCACACCTGCAGGAATGTGGAGGGAAGATTCAAAAGGGATTCCTGGAATGTTGCAATAAGCAGATAGTGGTATTAAACATATAGAGATAAAAAGGCCCCTAAAAGCACATGGAACTGATGTAAACCTAATCAAAAAAGAAGCATTTTATTGTAATAAACAGTGAGGATTGCAGAGCACAGGAAAAGAAGTTTCAGTGGGAGGAACACTAACACTGGTTTTAAAGGTAGGACCAGCTCTTGAGGTTTGACTTGTTCCCTCTTTCAGATTCCAAGGAAGTTATGGTGTTCCAGAGCAGAATCTAGTGCCAAAAGTTTGAGAACAGGGTGTGATAAGATCACCAGAGTATTTTATTTGTATCTAGGAAGAAGCCCT